CCTCCCCAAACACCTACTAATGGTAGCACAGAAAATGGGTGTCTATTACCAACACAAAATAGTCTAGCTGGTGCTAATGTTCCCTTCCTCTCTTTTTCTGTTGTTTTTTTTTTTTTTTTTCCAATGGCAAGTGCTAGAACTGCACCTGTTTCTAGCTCTGTAACAAAGCCATGCTGCATGTCCCAACTCCTATAAGCACACACTATTCTTACCCAAAACAAGGAGGAGGTTTGTGTAGCAGAGGACAGCTGTTCAGATGGTTCAGTCAAAGCAGCAACGTTGGAAGTTTTTTTACATGTGGAAGTAATGTTTCTTCATTTAAGAAAAGTGGCCTTCATTGTGCATTTTAGATTTGACTTTTAAAGACTGTAATGGGAGGAATCCTTTCACTGTCCTAGTGAAATGTAACCCACCTGAGTCATAAAGCTTTAAAAAGCACTATGCCAACTGGACACAGAGTACAGACAAACTGTATTAGATGCATCTGTCCCACATTTGTCTTCACATAACCTGAGCACAGACTGGGAATGGCACCATTCAAAAGAGGCGGGACGCAGCGGTGGGTGAGCGGCTGAAGGCACGGCAGCACCAAGGGATGGTGCCCTGCAAGCACCACTGATGCATCAGGATGTCAGCAACACAGACAGGTGAGGATGCCGAGTCACACAGCAGATGACCCGACTCTTCTTCTTCATGGTACCACCATGACTCTGCTCGCAGCTGTGTAAAGGCTGACAGCAAAAACTCCTCTTTCTGCTCCAAAGCAGCTCCCTGCCTGAGACCCCACATTTCCTCCACAGGCACTCACTGCGTGGCCACAGCAGAGGTGCTGGGGGACTGCCCACCCACGGCATAGGGGTACAGGCAAGATCACGACCTCCTGAAGCACCAGCAGGTCTCTGGGGATGCCACACGAGCTGGCCCAGCTCCACCAGCCTGCTGGTGACTCTGCTTGTCAAGCCTGCCGCACGCTCACCTTCCACAACGAACAGTTTGGCTGAGAGACAGAACCATTTATTGTCTTTTGAGAGGTATTTGGAAAGAAGATAAAACCTTCTAAATGAAATGGCATCATTCTTAGGCTATTTTCCCCTTTATTCATTTCTAGTTTCCCCCATTCCTCCCATTTTTATATTCGTAATGTTTCCTTTCTCTCGTACCACAGTGGCTGCTCTACAATTGCACAGTATTAGGCTTTCAGACTGAAGACACCTCTTCTAAGACTACATAGACAACTTTGAGCAGAACAATTTTCATATACTTTGTTCCTCAAAAATGTGACATTTGAGTGGATGCAAATGAGAGAAAAGCACAACACCTATGGCAGAAATAATTCTCTCCATGATGAAACTAAGTAGTACTTCAACTACCAAAAATTCATACCAAAATATTCTAAATATTAAATATACACTGACTCTTCTTTGACGAGCTAACATCAGGCAAATTGACTGCTGCTTATAGCTAGGATCAATAAATTTATGTATCTGTGATTCAAAAATCCTTTGGATTTTTAACAAGTAACAAGCATTAACAGCAAAATCATTTGTGATCAGAGGTGGAAACAGCACAAACATATTTACAGATCCTACCAGGAAAAGCAAGCTGAATGAAGAAAATAACGCCCTGAACAAAGGTCCAGAGCTCCCCAGCTGCATCCTGGGGGTGACCGAACGTGCAGCAGAAAGCGGTGCAGAAACAATCACCTACAGTAACTGTGAGCTAGAAAAACAGAACCGTCTGTCAGCCCTGTCACCAAGACACAGGCGGGACAAAGCTGCTGCCTGGGATGTGTCCCACGGGACAGTCCCCATGCTGCTGCCATGCACCATAACCCAACACCACAGTCAGAGCTGGGCTTTCTTCTTAATGCATGCCAGCATGGTGAAAACATGCAGACCTGCTATGAAAATGATAAATTTGTTCTACCAGTCAACTGTGACAGAGAAAACCAAGCAGATGAAGCCTGTGAAAAGTTAAATGTTCTCTTTCATCTCCTATCACTTTTTGTTGTGGTCAGTGAAGCGTGCACAGGGGGCACAGGTTCAGACTTTACACCACAGTAAGATTGTTAACTGTCCCTGTTAAACCACACTGCACAAATATCCATTAAAAAAATGACTGTGTCAAGAGCCTGTGCTTGCTGTGCTTCATTTTTCACTTTTCTGCTTTCTCTCCCTCTAACTTTGTGCTTCTCCAACCCTTTTATTGCATTTCTTAGCCTCAGTTTTGGCTTTTAAGATTAACTTCCCCACAGCCTTTCACCCAGTGCAACAGAGGCATGTGATGAGTCACCACAAGTTTGGGCAAAATAACATAAAGACCTTAGACTGAGTATGTTTCCACCTTCCCAATACTGTGTCAAGCTATCTACAAACTTACTGAATTTCACAGTTTCATACCCTTTATTTCATAACTGAACAGTTAACAGTCACCTGTTTGGGTTCTGTTTGCTTGACTTTAAGTAAAACAAAATACTACAGGATCTAAGCACAGAGGAGTCCGACTGCTTGGCAACTGTGAGGCACAGAAAGCTGTTTCATATGGGCCTAATTCTGTACTTGTTGCCCCTGTAGGGACTCATCAGAGACACTATTATGAACCAGAGACCACCTCTCCAATTTACATACAATGTACTTTAATTTCTAGGAATAAGGTTTCTTTTCTGTTGGCCACCAGCGAGATAAAAAAATTCACCTTAAAAATCCTAAAGCTGAGCAAAGTTCCATAACTTTAGACATCTTTTTTAGTGCTTTGGCTGGTCTGTAAATCACATCCCCAAAGAACTGTCCTTCCTCTTATTTTAAATACTTCTGAAAGCCACTGCAACAGAGGCAATTTCATGCTCTTATATGACACAGCCGTATCCCTACCCCTGCGTCTGATTTTCAGAGTTACATTGTGGGTTTGTTCTGTTTGAATTTGATAGTTAAATGAAGAATAAGCAAGGGAACCCCCTCAGAACTGCTTACATAGGAAGACAAAGGTTTTGCTGAGCTATCTTATTGATAAAACTATACCAGGCCAAAATCCTCTAAGGAGATGAAACTCTCATAATGGAGAGTTAACATGGAGTTAAGCCATTGTTCCAAACAATGCAAGATACACCAGAAAAGCACCTTTTTTTCAGAACTTTCTGGATGGTTTAAGTGCCATTGTACAAGGCAGTGCAGCCACAGCTGTGCTGGCATGGGACAGGACCTTGCACAGCACTAGTAGCTGTGCAATAAAACTCTGTATTGTGGTTTCATGATTGTTGCATTTTGAATTACCATATTTTTTAAACCTAGTTTTACATTTTCCACATATTAATATGTCACTTTCATAATTTGTTTCCAGCTAACACTCAGTTTCTCACAAAGCTGTAGATAGTGAGTACACTCTGGTTAAGCACAGCCAGTACTTCAGAATTCTTCCATATTATTCTTTTTCTTAGATGTGATCCAACATCAATTTTAGACAACGTTCTGAACAGAAGCAAAAGACCAGGAATTGTTACTAGCTGCACAAAGTCCTATCAAACTGTGGCTGGAGGGTGCAATTAAATTCCAGAAAGAACAACTACTAGGTGAAATGTAGGAAGAGACTAAAATGCAAGAAATAATGATTTCACAACTATTTACTATATGGCTATAGCTCACAGGCAGTCCATTTCCTATGTGAGTCTAGCACTGATGTTAAAATGACCTACTACATCTACCAAATTTTAACAAGGATATTTTATACACATATAAATATTTTGCTTCAGAAATGTCTCAAATTCCACTTAACTCTTACAGCAAAAAAAAAAAAAAAAAAAAAAAAAGAAAAAAGAAAGAAAGAAAAAAAAAAAACCCAACAGCCCTGGAGATCTCTGCTCTTACAATCTTTAGCATACAGAGCATACCCTCCTTTTCTTAAATCCAGCAGTCTTAAAGGTGCTGCTGCAGTAGTGCCTACACAAACAGTATTGTAACAATTGTACAACGTAGCACACAACCAAATGAGGCACCTAAGAGTGAAAATAAAATTAAAGATTCATGATTTTCAGAAACACGACTGGTGACTGCTGAATCTGCACATTATACAAGCTACCTCGTAGCTTTGAAACATTAAATAATAGCAACCCAATTTAGACTTCACTTTCTAAATATATTACTAGAGTTAGTTCACAAATAACATGACTAGAAGCTGAGTTACCAAGCAGGTGTGAAATCCTCTACTCTGATCCAACCATTTATGCTAAGGAGATCCCAGACTTCCACGCAGGTATTTCCAATTTAAATCATTCAAAGCAGATGTCTGTATTCCCTGTATGGCTAACACAATCCACACACCAAAACAGCTCTCACACCACTGATCACCTGGTCTGTGCAGCTATTACAAAAGGTAATATTTCCTGTGAGGCAGGCCCACTCTGCACTGACACACAGGTGGAACACTTGTCACATCAGCCCAGCGTGGCCCTGCACGGCGTGAGAGCAGCAGCACAGCCTGGCCCAGCTTGGCTGGAGTGACCCCGGGGTCTCTGTCAAACAGGACGAGGTGCTGGGCTGCAAGGGCTCAGGAGAGCACAGGTGCTCACTGGGCAGAAGGGATGGACAAATGTGTGGGAGGGTGAGATCCCTTCAGGCAAGAGGGGCATAGCCCTTGCTGAAGTCCTGGAAACTCACAGCTTCTCGTGTGAGATACCTGCAGGCTTGCACCAAGCAGTCTGCTGTCCAAGACAAGCCCACCTCTTATTAATCAAAGGATAAAGATGCTAGCATAGCAAATAAGCAGCTCCAAAACCCTCAAGGCCTGCCCCTGGGTCACGAGATGTCTGTCTCTATATCCATTAAATCAACTTATTAAAGTAACACAAATTGGAATCCTTATTGCAACTTGAAGACAATCAACCAAAAAAATCAAACATATTTTGGTTGGACTCTAAAACTAATGGGCTCATCAGCCCCCCATTCATTTCAGATGGATGCATTTCATTTTGTGTCAGTAAGAATGTTTAACTGGGACCTCCTACAGACCAGGAATAAATAGAGAAGTGACCCTCGATGACACTTCCAGACAGAAGAGAACCTTTTCTCTTTCCCATGGAAGGAATCTCTGGAGGCAGGATGATGAAAGGAAGCCAAACTTCTCAAAAAGCTTTAGCTATTTTAAAAGCTAAAAGCAACTTTAAAGACTGTAACTCATTGGTAGATACAGTGACATGAGAATATTTCTGGGATACATGGATGATGCTGTCCAAATTCAGAGGGATAAAGGCACTGTGAAAACAAAATAGAGAAAAAAAAACCCTTATGGAGTTAAGGTAAAAGATACAAATGAGCTCTTTTCCAAGTACCTAGTAATCCAAGCAATTAGTACTAAACAACACTCAATCTGATGACAGTGGAACTAGGTTGTTAAAGGACTATGAAACCCTGAAGTGTGCTGTAGGGGTATCCATTATAAATACCTGGGGACTTAAGGTAAAGAAGGGTAAAGGGAAAGGCAAAGGAAAGGTCAGGAAAAGGCAGATTCATTTACTGTATACTACGCCTTGGCATATTTAGGTATGAGATCTAACTTCTTGAATTATTAGCCACAAAGCTACAGACATGGATGGCCAGGCCACATCCCACCAGTCTGCACTGCCCCAAGAATCACAACAGTCATCAATAAAGCAAACCCACCCTGCTCAAAAGCAAGATGATCCCCCACCAATTTCAATGTTATGGAAAACAGAACAATTGCCTCGAAACACACCCTTAAGGTGCTGGTGAACACTCCTGCGACCCAGGACAGCCTTGGAGCAGCCCAGGCACCCTGCCCAGGGCCCAGTATCAGTGCAGCAAACCAATGGCACCAGCCTCGGGTGTTGTAAAGGAATGTGGAACTAAATTATTGCAACAGCGACTTGGTGGAACCTGGAATAAACCCCTGGAACAATAAACCCCAAAATCACCACTTACTACCCCTTGTAGAAAAAAATGCAGCAGGTGCTGGTGTGTGAGACGGGGACGCAGCCGTGAGGGGCGGGAGGATGAAGGGCACGGGCGAGGCAGGCAGGGGCTCAACCCCTCTCCGAGGGGCCATAAGGCAGACGTGCGATTACAGAAACAACGAATGCAGCGACTGCCCGGGGCCGTATCGGCACAGCACGGCAAGCATGGGCCGCCAGACCCTCTGGGCACGGAGCGGGCAGCGCTCTGCCCCACAGCCGTGACCCCTCAGGGCTCCCCGGGGCCGCCCGCCGGGCAGGCAGCGCAGCGCCGCTCCCTCAGCCCGGGAGCCGCGTCCGGCTAGCCCCGGGCCGGGCTGGAAGGCGCCACCGCCGGTACTCACCGATCCCGGCCGCTCCCGGCCTCCGGTGGGGGCATCGGGGCGGCCGCACGGATGTCCGGCCCCGTGCGGTCCGAGCCGGGCGCGGGCAGGGTCCCGCACCGCCCGCTCCGCAATTCCACCGGGCCGAGCCGGGCTGGGCCGGCCCCCGCAGAAGCCCCGGGACTGCCCGCACCGCTCTCCAACGGCCGAGCGCCCCGGGCCCGGGCAGCGAGCACCGGGCATTGGTCCCGGTGCCGGCCGCAGCCCCGCCCCGGCCCCCGGGCCCGCTCCCCCCGGCCGCGGGGGCGGTGCCTCCGCCGCCGCACCGCCGGGACCGCCGCCCGCCCCGCGCCCCCGGCCCGCCCGCTGCCCGCTCGCCCTCGCCCGCCGCCCCGCGATCATGGCCGGCTGGCAGAGCTACGTGGACAACCTGATGTGCGATGGCTGCTGCCAGGAGGCCGCCATTGTGGGCTACTGCGACGCCAAGTACGTCTGGGCAGCCACGGCCGGCGGCATCTTCCAGAGCATCACGGTGAGCGGGGCCGGCGGGAGCGCGGCCGGCGGGAGCGGGGCCGCACCCCCAGGGCCCGGGCCCGGGGCCCTTCCCCAGGGGGAGGCCGAGGGGCCGCGGCGGCGGGAGCAGCCCGGGCCCCGCGGGCGGGCCAGAGCCGGGCTGATGCCGCGGGTGCGGGCAGGCCCCGGGCTGATCTCCCGGGACAGGTGCGGACAGAGTCCGCGCCAGCCCGGGGTCAGGCTCCGGCAGACGCCCTGCGCCGTTCAGCGGGCTCGGGCCCGGAATGGCCGAGGCAGAGGCTCCCCCGCGCGCAGCGACCGCGGAGCAGCGCAGACTGCGCCTAACAAAGCCCTGTGTTCTGGAGCACTTCCTGCGGGTAGCGAGGGGAAATCATGGCCTCGGCCTCTCCACACGAGACAGGACCGGTTCTAAATAGAAATTACAGCAATGTACCCTTCCGTGCTAACTCTGAACTCTTTCCTTTGACAGCCAGGAGAAATAGATATGATTGTAGGAAAAGACCGAGAGGGTTTCTTCACCAATGGTCTGACCCTTGGTGCAAAGAAGTGCTCTGTGATCAGAGATAGCCTGTATGTCGATGGTGACTGCACAATGGACATCAGGACAAAGAGTCAAGGTGGTGAGCCAACATATAATGTTGCTGTAGGCAGAGCTGGACGAGGTAAGCACTCTTCTCTCTACCTTCACATAGTTAAATTAGGAATGTGACCCTAAGCATAGACTCCGGCTATTAGGAAAACCAAACTCCTGTATTTAATGGCTAATTTTGGGAAGTGATGCAAGGGAGTGGATGGCAGTGCTCTAGCTGAGTTCTGACTGAGAATTACACTCATCCCCGTTCCCACCTGCATCCCAGCCCAGCACCAGACTGTGCAGTAGTTAACAGGTCAGTGACAAGCAGGAAAAAGCAGGCTGCAGCCCCAAGCAGGCTTAGCTGGTATCCCATCACTTCATACCTGAAGCTCAGGAGGTGTCTGTTAATGACAGGCAGTGACTGCAAGCTTTCTCATTGTAAATTGCTTGATGGAAAGTTTATTCTGCAAAGTTGTGAATCTCATGTATGAGCTGCTCCTGCTTAAAAAGTTCTGCGTTAACTCTTCTTGCACTTCCTATTGAGCCTGCTAAAGTCTGTCCAGGCAGAAAAAGCCTGTCCAGTTTGGTACCACTGAGAAATGTACTTCATTCTCAGACACCCGCTCCTTGTGCTCTTCATTTCACTTCCAGTAAAATCTGTTATGGGGCAGCCACTCATCTGGGATATGAAATACTGTCTGGGAGTGGTGTGCCTCATGTTGGGAACACCTGGGCTAGCATTTTTGGGCTGGCTGTGGAAAGGTTCATGAGTGACAAGACGTTCACTAATAGGTGTAAAACCAAAGGCAGAGCAGATGTCTGTAGGCTGAAGCCCAGGGCAGGCATGCAGGAAGAGGGTTGGCAGCACTGAAGTGAAACAAGCAGAGTTCTGACTTGTGAAATGACAATGAGAACTGTCTTAAGCTTTTATGAGCAAATGGCTATGGAGATAGAATCATAGAGTCATTAAGGTTGGAAAAGCCCTCCAAGATCATAGAGTCCAACCCTTCTCCCGGTGCTGCCAAGGCCACCACTGACCCATGTCCTCAAGTGCCACAACCACATGGCTTTTAAATCCCTCCTGGGGTGAGGACTCAACCACTGCCCAGGGCAGCTGTGCCAGGGCTGCACAACCCTTTTGGTGAAGAAGTTCTCCTGATATCCAACCTAAACCTTCCACGGTGCAAGCTGAGGCCCCAGTGTATGATCCCGTGTGGGTAGCCTGGCAGCAGCGTTCCCAGCTTGGTGAGCAGTCCCTGGCCTGTGGCAGCCCCGTGCTCATTGTGTCCCCTCCCTGTTGGGGGATGTCTCATGGCAGCTCACAGTGGCTGTTGCTAGTGAGCCTCCAGTGTTCCTTTCACCATAATCTGGGACACCTTGCTGGAATTGGGGGAGTGGGGAGAGCCTCAGTATGACAATTGTCCCTGTGTTGTGTCTTATGTAAAAAGTGTAGTTTATAGTTGTGTTATTGCATGGAAGGTCTCAGCCCAACTCACCCTTTGGGGTTTTTTACCAGCATCAGGGTAGTTACTCTGGTTCCAGATCATGGGAATTTTCTTTTGCCACTCTCCAGTCACGCTTGCACACACTGCACCCCTGGTCCCACAGGGAGCCACCAGGATTTCCTTGCTGGGTAATGACTGATGGTGAGAGGCACTGTAATGCTTTTTTGATAGCTGGTGGCATTTTTCTTAGCAGTGAACTCTTGAAACTTCCACAGTTAGATAAAAAAACCCTGAGGATAGGTTGTACTTTCTCCCAGCCCTGTCTACATCTCTGTTTTAACAAAACTGTTAAATTAGCTTAATACCCAAATAGTAAATCTTGAATTTGAGGGTGTTTATTGCACTGCCTAAAACTTGCATTATTTCCATGTCTAACACACTTTTTAAAACTGTTTTTTCTTTTCTCTTTCAGTCTTGGTCTTTGTAATGGGCAAAGAAGGGGTCCATGGAGGCGGATTGAATAAGAAGGCATACTCAATGGCAAAATACTTGAGAGACTCTGGGTTCTAGTTGTTAGGCAGACTGTTAAGTATTAGGGGAAGATTGCTATTAAACTTTCCTGGCGGTGAGCTTTAAACCTTACATTCTGGAAACTTTACTAGCAATGCAGGGTGATGGGGTATGAACCTGTGTCTCCTTTGTATCCCTTTGTTGGTGGGGAAAGGTGTTATTTTTTTTTTCCCTTTAATTCTTTTCATTTCTGTTTTGTTTCCTTGTGTACTCCAGCATTGGTTATAGTCATGGGAAAGGAAGGTGTCCCATGGAGGGACACTCAACAAGAAAGCATATGAACTGGCTTTATACCTGAGGAGGTCTGATGTCTGAGCAGCCTCTCCCCATCCACCTAGCAGCTGCCTGCACCACCACCCGCTTGTGCTCAGTGCTGCCAGACCGTAGATGGTAGTTTGTGTTTTTTATTTACCCATTTCCTACTGTCATAACTCCAGTTCCCCCTTGTTCATCTCTGTAACCACTGTAGGTAACCGAGCCCATCTGGCACCACCATGATGATGATATGCATGATAACTTGAAACTCGGGAGGGGAACATGCCAAGTGTAGGCTCTGCTTCGTCTTAGCAATTAGTTGATATTGACAGCTAAACCAACTGAGATACTAAACAAGGTGCCGATTGTACAATCTAATTTGATCAATGCCTCTTCAGCACTTTGAGCAAGTCACAGCTCACTAGTCTTCCTTTCACAGAGCACGGTTGGGAGGAAAAAAGTGTGTGCATATCTTCATTTCTGTCCCTCTCTTTGTTTCTGTTTTTTAAACCCATGTGTTTGCTTACGCCCATTTTTATAGTGCCTGGTTTGTTTAACCAATTTGCCACTCAAAAGCTATTAATGTCACATTAGTTTTGTCATTGCACTTCACTGTAGGCTTAAGTCTCTTGCTTTTTCTTGATGTTGTCTGAAGGTTGTACTGCTTAACAAGTGCAATCACAAAACTATGAAAGGGTACAGATGTACTTCCTCCCATGACCTTAAACCACCATCCTAAGGACTCCCCAGACATTCCATCACTACAATAGCTCAGGCACTTTTTTTTTTTTTTTTTTTTGCCAGCTCCTGTTCTGTAGTTGACTTGTGCACAGCTGCCACTGTGGCCATTAGCTAGCCTGGTATAACCAGCTGGAGTGTGTCTGGTTTCAGTTTCTCATAGGACCAATTTTAATTTGCAGCTTGGGGGTCAGGGGGTGGGGGGTGGTGTTTTTGTTTTTTAATATGAAACTGCAATGTCATTGTGGAAAACTGCCACCTTCACCTACCCTGGGAGCTCTGACTGACTTCAGTCTTTCTGCCAGGTCACTCAGTGGTGCAGAGTTTGGCTGCCCTGAAGCCACTGTTTGGATGAAGGTCGGTAGTTTGTAAGCTAAACTGTCAAAATACCATTTCAAATTTAAAAAATCTTCATCTGGCCTGTCACACCCTTGCTGCAGAAATGATGGAGTGAGCTGCCTTGTGCACGAGTCATCTGAAAATGTCTGTAACCAAACTCAGTTCAGGCATGGTTCTGACCTGTATGTCCATTGCAAGAACTGCAGAACTCTGTATACTAAAGAATAAATGGGAGATGGTAGTGGTTGGAATAACTGACTTGGCTGTCTTGTGATGAATTTTTTAATATGTATTCTGTGCCATACTATTGTTAAAAAAAAAAAAAATTGAACTGTTGCTATTGTGAGATGGATTTTAACTGACTCTGAGGGTTTCTTTTGACTGGCACTACCTTAGGGACATTCTAGTATTTGCTTCTATTGTTGGGCCTTGTGGATAATGTACAGATTTAAACAAATTCTTGTTGCTGATTTGTCCATTTCTTTCCCTGCACTTTGTTACATCTGGGATACAGTCTAACTCATCTGATTTAATATGCATTTCAAAAAATGCCATAACTATTAAAAACACCTTGTTTACAGACAGATGAAATAAATTTATTCCAACCAAACAAAATCAGACTGTTGGTAATTTTTCTGCCTCACACCTGGGAAATCCTCTGAGGCCCTTCAGTGCATGGCTGGCCACACTAGCAGGAGGTCTAAGTACAGTTTTAGGTTTGGCAGGACAGCAGTAGTATGATAATATAAGTAATGTGATATGATAATAAGTAGTGTGATAATATGATTTCAGTCAAAAACCAGGCAGTGTTTGGGGCAGATCTTAAATGAGATGATTTCTCATCTCTTAATTCCACATTTATCCAGCTCTTTGGTGTGGGGTTCCCCTGCCCTCTGAATGCCCAATTCACCATTCCTAAACAAGCTGAAGGCAACTTTGCATCGGACCTGGCAAAGGAGTCTGTGGTGGCCTGCCCAGGTCAGTGCAGCCAGGGTGGGAATGTGCTCCCCTCAGCCAGAGAAGGGGCAGATTTAAGGTCTCCATTACCTTAAAGGATTGCACCTGCATTTGTTACTTCTACTGAGAACTCCTAAAAACACAGGCCCACGGGGATGTGATGGTGAACCCTGGAGCTTGTGGCATGGGAGGACGGCTGAATCCAGATCGTGGGAGGTGAATCTGCCTTTCTGGGCGCTCAAACTAGTCAGGTGCTTCTGGACAGGACCTGAAAACACCTTTGTTCTCCCCTCCTTCCCCCACACCTTCATCACTGGTGTCAGCTGCACCTGCTCCTCTGCTTGGCACTACTCCTGGGTCTAACTAAAACCTTCCTATATATAGTGTTGATATTCTCCACTGCCAAGTGGCTGTGTCTGAACTGGATCTCCCAGGGCCAGAGTTAGAGCAGACCAATATGCACAGAGCAAATTCCCGTTCAGTAGTAACTGGCACAGAGGATGCCAATCTGCTTCCCTCATACAACACATGTGAAGCTGTGCTCAGTGTCTGAACACAAAGTTGTACTCACCTTGTTTCTCCCTAGTTAGGAGGAATGAGGATATTCTATTCCCAGACCTGCTGGGAAGGCCAGAGTGGATGGAACTGACTACAGCAGCACCCTAAAGGCAGAGCAGCTGCTGGCAGCACACTCCAGGTACTTTTCATCACATGCCTTAGTATGACCTTACTCCTTTCTGATCAGTTCTCCTCTCTTGAGGTGTATGTTACCTGTATACTTCTGCTTGGTTAAGAATTAGGTGTTCAGATTACTTTTTCAAATGCATTTGTTGGTGAATTTTCCTAGCATAACTGTCTGCAACTGACTGCAGGCACTAGAATTACATAAGAGCATATTACAAAGTTGAGGTCAGTTCGTGGTTCTGGAACTTCAGCTTTTGGGGACCGCTCCTGGAATACAATAATGAATATTCACATGCAGTCACAGCAACAGCAGGGACCTATTTTAAGAAAAATCTTTCAGTGTAGTAATTGCATTTTCAGAAACCATTTTCCCATTTGGACTCACCTAGACATATGCATGCTGAAGGGGAATTTTGCCTTGTGAAAATATACCACTACACTGACTGTCATTACCCCATGGCTGTGGCAGCAGTGGTTTGGAGATGAATCATCCTTTCTTTGTTATCCTTTTGCTGTGCCTCATTGTGCAAAATAAACTTTCCCTGCTCTCAGCTAGGCCCAGAAAACAGATCTGCACTGCAGGGTATGTGGCTGCATAGAGTGCAAGGCCAGAAACCACACCTGGGACCACCTCACCTGCCATCACCTGTCCAGGGTTCTAGCACTGGGCTGTGGTTCTGCAGGCACTGCCAGCTGGGGAGGAATTGCTCAGAGCACCCTGGTCCTCCTTCACGCTCCCCCAGGAAAACAACAGACTCTGGCCAGTCCAAACTCCTCCTCAAGCTAGAAGTGAACAAAAATGAAAGTTTTCTGCTCAGAGCCTTGCACACAGCACTGGTCAGTGCAAGCCCTTGTACTGTGACTCACGGTGTGATGCAGGGAACATCTGCTCAGGCTCCCCACAGTTCCACATTACACCTCTTCAAAAGCACTTCACCCTCAGTAATGGAGGCGAGTACTCAAGATCTCAAGTGATGCAGAAGTTCAATAAAGTCCTTTTGATATTTAAAGTGGAAAACATGTTTATTAACATTCTTTCAAGCTTTCCTTAGTCAAGGCCATATAAAAAAATCTCCATTTGAGTATATGCATGGTTTTACTTTCTACATAGTTACAGAGGTATTATAGAATCTACCTTTTTTGTGATACACTGGTAAGTACTGAGTTCTGTGAGACTGGTGTAAGCACTTGTTTTCAAATCAGGTATTTGAAAAGAACAATTTTTTATATACAGTTTAGCAGACTAATGCAGCATAAAATGCTCTTAGTAAGAGGTATATGAGCCAAGGATCAATATAATACTTACCCTAAATTTCTTTTTCTATGTGGAACAAAACCTCTGTCTCTGTTATCTCCAACTCCCACCTCCTCACTGGAAACCAGACAATGAAGTAGTAGCAAGGAGGGATAATAATGTGCTTATGGTAGACCTGACCTTGTGAATTGCTCAAAACTAAACATATATTCTAAGTTTCCTCATCCTGGGAATTGCTCAATGGAACTGCTTAAACTCAGCTACCACGGCAAACTCCAAAGGACTATTTGGAATCACTGCGTTGAGATAAAAGTGGAATTTCTTCTGCTTTGTTTTAACATACCAGCACATAGAATATTGATCTGTTCTACTTCTTCCTTTCAGCAGTGGTGACAGTTTTTAGGGAAACTATACAAACATGCAAATACAGTTTTTGTTGGGCCTAAGGGGTAACACATATCTACATATAATAAATATTGCTCTCAGGATGACCCAGTTGTAGCTACAAAATAGAAATAAAAGTACTTCCAGAGAAATCCCATTTCAACAGGAGACATTTAGAGTCTTTGTGATATTTCAATTGATATAAACTATTAACATTATTCATTAGCATTGTGAAGTCCAGTTTAACTGTTGGTTTTGAGAAGACAGAATGTGTGACTGACTACCTGAATCAAAAGTAAATCTACCTGTAATGATTTAACCAGAGTACTACTACATGAACTGCTGCTCCTATCAAAGAAACCAAATGGATTACAGATTAAAAGAGATTCCCTATGCAAAGGTTTGTAAATAGCCTTAAGAACCCTTTTGTTCATACACCTATGGGTCATTAGTAGTCTCAGACAGTGTTTGCCACTCTATACTCCCTGTCCTCACTGGGCTGCAGCTGAACCACTACACTTTCTTCATTCATCCCATTTTCCGCATCACTGCTATCAACATTGTCATTGTCATCCTCCTCGTACTCCGAGGACTCGGTCATGTTCTGATGGGAGTGGGACTCGGACAGAGCCCCGAAGGACTGTGTGCTGACCGAGGCCAAAGGCCTGAGCAGAGGAGTGTTCTCAGACACTTCATTCTCCTCTTGGCTGCTGTCTGTCTCCGAGTCAGAGTCCCCCTGGGAAGGGACCACTTTCTGCTTACACACAGGACAGGTTTTTTTTGTTTTTGTCAGCCACGGGTCCACACACTTGCAGTGATATGCTGTTAGAAAACAAAATACAAGGACATCATTATAATAGTGAAAAGGACAGGGAAACCTGGTAAACCATTTCTGTTCAGTGACACAGGAGAATTTTACAATGTAACTCAGAGAATTTTAGTGCCAAATTTGTTGGCATATAGTCTGTACAAAACACCTGATGGCTTAGGATCTGAATCACATGGGTATATGCAATGAATACCTGTGTTTTCTACTGAGTGAATGAGAGCAGTAGTACAACAGGCCACATCTGATGACAAACCTTACAGCTTTTTGAGCAATTCCATCCACTTTGCAGCAGGCATGTCCACCATCATCATCCCCGCATCATCCCCTCACCTCCACATCAATATGTATCAAAGCACCTCATTATTACATGACATTACATTGTGGATCTTAAATTAGGTCTGCAATTGGCACTGCAACTAGGCTGGCCGTGTTTAAAAAAAAGTATTTGTCTTACTTATGGTATTAAAAATTCAGCTCCTCTTGGTAAGAGAGACTTCTACTTGGCAAAGAGCTTGTATTTAAATGAGCCAGCAATGCCATGTTTAGTACCTGGTCAAGCACACTGGAAACACATTCTACAGATGAACTGATGGTGGGGGTTGGTGGTGTTCAAGTTAAGTTACCTCTGCAGTCCCCCACTTGGACAGATGCCATGGACCTCTTATCAGTCTAGTTTGAAACCTCAGTTTTATGACTGAGGTTCTAAAAAGCTCAGCCTGTCACCTGCTGTGCTGGCTGTGTACAGAAAGCTGTAACATGTCTGCAGTGGGCTGGACTCGAGAAAGACTGTCACAGGGAAAATATTTTACTAACTGACTTCCAAGTGCAGTCAGGCAGTGGAGTGCCTGGCTGCAGACTCGGGACAAACCCATCCCTTCAGCTGCACCTCTAAGTCACCAAGAGCTCAATTAAGTTTTGTGGTTTACTTGACTTGGGGAAAGTGAAAGCCTATTTATTTAAATGTAAAAGTATTACAATAAATATGGGTATTCAGGGGACAGCATCAAGCCCCAATTTTCTTTCATGTGTATATCCAAGGAAAATGCAAAGTGGGAATGCTAACTTTTTAGCTTTTAAAACGAGAAAGCAAGCTTTCACTTCTGCCACTTCGTACATTCATTCTTGCATATTAGCAAAATGGAATTTTATAAATCACTTACTAAACACATGCGCTGTAGGTTTTGGACAGTGTTTTGGAAAGCTGTTTTAATCTAAATTCAAACCTAAAATACAGTTGCTTACCATGAGAGCACGGAAGAATCCTGAGCTTGTCTCCATCCTCGTATTCGTCCAGACAGATGGCACACACATCATATTCATCTCCTACAACATGTAACTGAGAATGAGTTTGACTTTAAAGGACTTGCAGCAGACCCTCCTGACACACACATGGGCTTGGGAACTTTCATGCAACTTCTGCACCGATTTTTTTTAAGCAATGTTTTAATGCTCAGCCACAGCCTGCTCTGCTCCCATTAAAGAAGTGTTAGAACTCCTCTATTTCAGTGAGAACAGGGTCCAGCCAAACATTTTTTTATGCTTTTACTCAAAACTCTATCTATTTCAAATGTACTCAAAATTGTCTCTGAAACTTAATACCCCTCTGATTTACAAGGTTTTTGGAAGTAAAAACAATATGGTCCAGTGAGTTAGACAAAGAATGATCCACTTGCCTTTCTTAAACTTATGTACAGGAAGTTTCTTAAGCTGATCCTTCCTAAGCCGATTCCTTCTTGCTCTGTGTCTGTCCTGAACAAATTTTGTTATCTGGAAACAGACAAGATAACATGAACAGTAAGTTACACCAATAAAAGAACAATAAAAGTTTTGATTTATAAAGCTTTGCAGTGAGTTGATCGAAAGGGAACCCCAGCTAACAGAGAATAACTTCTACCCTTGCCTGAACACAAGGATGAAGCCAAACAAGCCTAAAGGATGTTCTCCATGAACATGGCACCTGGAACTGAGAGTACACAAGGGTTTTTTTGAGAGGAAAGAGAAACAAAGAGGTATGTACCCTACATAAAATAATGGCCATTGCTGCAATCCTCTACTGAGGCCTGTGAAAAGCAGGAAGCATACTGCAGTGCAAAACACAATTCAGTAGGTTTGAACAGTTTTCCTTACAGATTCAGATTACTACAGCTCTTCTATAGGATTATTCCCACATTCATCAGAACTGTTTCCATATTAGCTAAAAGAGTAGGTTGAGGAGTAAAGGGTTCACTTTGAATTATTGTTACATGTTATACTATGCCATACTAAGATAACGCAGTAAAAAAAAAATAACTAAATAACCAGTAATACAAAGCTCTCCAAATAACTGCAATAAATATTCTGTTTCCATTTTCTTAGTAGTCCTGCATGCTATTTCTGTTCAATTTCTAAATTTAGCACCTGTGATATGGCATTTTTTCAAATATGATGACAAGCAAAATAATAAACAAAGGATATTTTAATCTAAACTGTTCATTCCAGCTTTTTCACCACAGCTAAACAATAAGCTTTATGCACAAACTGCAGTTTTTCTTCTGTAATCCAGAACCTTAGTGACAATCAGAGTCTCATGTAAATCTTCTAGTTGAAAACAAGATTGTCTCAAAGAAGCAGGGACAGAATCAGAAAAGAATGAGGATCAAATCCAACCTGGAACCTGCCTGGGATCAATTTTACCGCACCAATTAATTGTCTAGCGCTCTAGTCTGTTGAGCTGTCTCTGTATGCAAGGAAATCAGTATCTCCTAGTTTAGTATCCTTGGCAAATTGACTCACTGTGTATTCAACTCCTCTGTCCGGGCTGCTGACAGCAACACAGCAGAGAACTGGCCATAAAGCTGAACCCTGACGAGCACCACTGCAGCCCAACCACCAGCCCGGTGTTACCCCTTCACTGCAACTCCCCGAGCCTGACCCTTCCCACAGCTCACTCACTGTCCTGTGTACACACTTAGCTTTCACGGGGTGCTTTTGTACAGAAGGACACTGTGAAAGACAGCAGCAAAAACTCTGCTAAAAAAAAATTCATCTTTAGGTGATCATTCTGCTTTGTTTTCAGAGAGCTGCTGCAATTGCAATTGTGCCAAACATGCCCAGGACTGTCAATGAAATATGTAACATCCAGTGCAAAAAATACTAATGCAGAAAAATATTTTAAGTGTTTATACAACAATTGATGCATTATTTTTTATTAGAAGTTGGCACAAATTACAAAAAATGGGATGCTGAGTATCCCAAAATATGTAGCTATGCTACTTTCCCACTTCAAGGAGAGACGTCCCAGCTGAGAACCCCTACAGGCAATGCATGTGCTGAGATCAGTGCTCTGTGCTCACACACTCATAGCTACACCTAAGTGCAGTACAAAACAGTGAGCCCTGCAGCCTGGAGCAGTGGGACTAATGATTATTAAGTTTGGTAAGGCAGGATATGCTCTCGGTGTACAAGAGCACAGGTCACTCTGTATGGGGCCAAAACACAAGCGCCTGTGGAGTTAAGAGTGGCAGTGAGGACAATTCCTACAAGCAGTTACACGCTAGGGAGAACACCCAAAAGGATCCTGATATCCCTTTGACAAAATCCTGCACCTGTCTGTTTTATTGATAAAGTAAACAATTACATGTAAGCATGGTACAGATATGTGCAGCACACACAGCTTCACTCTTCCTTTACTGTATACCTTCCTTACCATCCCATACTTACCATAAATATGACGATGAGAATAAGACAGATCCCTACTATTATTAGGAAAGGGATTAAGTAGTACTCCAAAGGAAGACTGAACTCTGGGATTAACACAACGTGGCCACTGTAGGGAGGAAGAGATAAAACCATCTAAATTAATGAGAACTTAATGAACAAGTTGAGGAACAAATACAATAAAAAAAATAAAACAAAATATTGTCACACAAGACACACTACAGGACCTCTACCTGTGCACAAAAACATAGAAAATTCAGTCCATACACAATGTAAAGATAACTAAATAAAATGATAAAACACTGTTTCTTAGAACATTTTTTGCATTAAAACTATTAACTGACCTCAACCAAACCTAGAGAAACCAGGAAAACCACCTCATAGCTGTTTTGACAGCAGAATGAAAAAAAATATAACATGACTATCAAAAGATACAGTGAAATTATTCTTATTTACTGAAACACTACAGGTTGCTCTCAGCCACAAGACTTCACCTGAAACACCTATAACCTCTGTCATCACAGCATCCTACTTTAAAGCCATAAATATTCAAAAGAGACAACGATCTAATGCAAGGACTAACACAGCCGCACGTGAGTTAACCTACCCTTTTTCGTAAGTAAACTCCTCTTTAAGAGAATTAGCTGATGTCTCACCAATAAAGACAGAAGGAATGTCAATCTTCTTTAAAACCTCAACTGTATAAAAAAAAAGGTGGAAAATAAAACTATTATTACATGGACAATCTATGGGTACTCAAGATACCTGAACATTATGAGACTATCACAACAGGAAGACATTTTAACACAGTGACATCCAGACCAACCCACATGCATGTTACAGCGCTACTTCATATAAGCACTATTACTTTTCCTACACAATTTCTAGGGAATTTATTGCAGGTAGAGAAATTGAAATTCCTAATGGAATAAGGGGAGCCTAAAACCAAAATATGTTGACAAAACAGGATCATAATTTTAACTAGAATACCATTCTTCACTCAGTGATTCAAGCAAGTCACATAGCTCCATTGATTTCCAGAATTTCTGGCAACTTACATGATTTTGTGAACAGGTTCTATAAGTTTTAATTAATCTGTCTTCCCTCCTTTTCACCCCAAACATAAATAAACATACTGGAAACAACTGTGGCTAGATAAGGTCAAAAAGAAGAAAGAAGAAAATTAACAAGTATTTCAGTCTCAAGAAACTGGATGAACTGTTGTCTTCTCTGTCTACCAGTGAAGGCAGTAATAAATGAAAACTCATTGAAAGATAAGTCACATATTCTAGAAAACCTTCTCCTCAGCTTCACATTATATTGATTTTCCCCCTAATACTTCACATTTAAGGCTCAACGTAACCTGAGTTTAGACCATCTCAAAGCAGTCAGGTTCCCCAAGGCAAAAGCACATGTGGCTGAATGTCAGCTCACTCTATGAGGTCTGTGTTTGCTGTGGACTTATTCTACATTTTGGTTATTCAGTGAAACCTAAAAATAAGATTCACATGGGTTGAGAATTCATTAAACCCACTTTCACATAACTGCCCAGGCTACTCAGCTCCCATGTAGTTTGTCAAAGTTCACTCCTAGTTTACTCAATGGCATTTCCACTGGAAAAGAATACATTTTCCTCTTATTTCTTTTCTTGTTCCATATTGAACAGGTTGAAAACTAAACAAAATAAAGAAATGCCACAAAGAAAGCAGTAACAGCACTAGAAACACAAAGCACATACCACAGAACAAACCTAGCATTCTGACTAGATTTCAAGATGCTCTAAACATATCCACTTCATGAAGGTTAAAAATGGAACAGCTAACACAAGAAACAAATAGTAAAATGGTTCACTGGTCTCTAAATATTCTTTCCAACTGAAAATTAGCGCATGTGATATGCTAGAATCCATTTGTCCAGAGGAACAGGAAGATGCACCCAACAGTGCAACAACAAACTGGAACGGCTATCGCAGATGAACTTCATGATCTGAAGTCCTTTCCAACTAAATGATTCTATGATTCTAAATACTAAAATGTCCTATTATAAAATTTGATTTCCTTCCAAAGGTGTGTTTTCTACTTTTCCACTTAACTAACAACTCACCAGCTATTTTCCACATAGGCAACATAAATCTAGCCCAGAATACTTGAACTAAAATTTGAAGGAAAACCAAAAGAAACATTCAGAGAAGGCACAAGTCAATGTATTAGTTCTTACGCAAAAATCTCCTGTTATTATATCTTAAAAGCAGGAGGATTTATCTGGGTTTTTTGTTTAGTTAGGTTTTGATTTTTGCTTGTTTGTAGTGGTGGTTTTGTTGTTGATGTTTTTGTGGTGTTTTTGGTGGTGCTGCTGTTTCCAGTGGGTGAAATGATATTCAAACAGGAGAGAAGAAGTGATACCTGTACTTACTGTCGTTGGATCCCATGCTTATGAGGTCATCAGAATCAACATTGTGAACTATAGCTGCCTTGTATCCAGCTCTCTGGGCATTTAAGACCTGTAAGCCACACAAAATGCTTACTTTGGTAATCAGAAGTAGAGAGAGGACTTTTAATTTTTGTTAAAATATGCATTCTGTCAGTCAAGCAGCTGATGGGTAATCTAACTCACATCTCAGCCCACATGCCACTTTCTAGCAGAAACTTTAAGACAAAATGCTGCACTACACATCCAATATATAATGCAATATTGCAAGGGTATTGACAACATACTAAAGACGTGGATTTGCTGGGCGCAGGCTATGCAGATACCTCTGCTCACCTTGGAAATGCTGATTCACTTGTACTTTGCTCTTTGTCTAACAAGAAATGAGTGGAAACCTCCTTTTCTATTAATATTACACGAAATACAAAACGTAACCAAAAATTCTTATATACAGACCTAATGCAACATAAAGCTTAAAGGACTGACTATGGAAATTCCTCAACGGCAATGCAGGAATCTCTCAAATTCAGACCCGTTCCTTTAACCATGTCTCCAGAAGCAATACTGTCCTGTCAGTGTATGGACAACAATTAGAAGACAAAGCAGACATGAAAAAAAAGGCCAGTAGCCATTTGCCCCCTTTCTTTTCCCACTGAGCCATATGCACACGCAGGATTCCCAGGACAGACTACGTGCCATTCCCAAGCCTGAAGTGAAGGCAGATTATATGCAGTGAACCTGCCTCTGCAGGTGGAGTCTACAGTATAGGCAGAATTTATGTGGTTCGATCACCACATAACTGAACCTACCACGCAGCAGCAAAAACAAACACAGCTGAATCTCCTTTCAGTTCACAAAACTCAACAACAAACTGAAGAGCCCTGTTTTCCTTAAGACATCCTTAGCTGCCTCGCTGTATCAGATTAATTTTCAAGAAAACCACAGTCAAACACAAATCATTCTAATTTTGCATTTTTAAAATCATAGAACATTAAGGGTTGGAAGGGACCTGAAAAATCAAGTGGCTGGAGCATGTCCAGAAAAGAGAATAGAGCTGGGGAAGGGTCTAAAGCACAAGGAGTGGCTGAGGGAGCTTGGGGGCTCAGCCTGGAGAAAAGGAGGTTCACAGCTGACCTTCTCACTCTCTGTAACTCCGACGGGAGAGGTCAGCCAGGTGGGGGTAGGGCTCTTGTCCCAGGCAACCATCAGTAAGACAAAGGCACATAGTCTAAAGCTGTGCCAGGGAAGTTCAGGTTGGACATCAGGAAGAATTTCTTCACAGAAGGGGTAATAAAATATTGGTGGTGGAGTCTCCATCCCTGGAGGTGTTTAACAAAAGACTGGGCATGGCACTCAGTGCTGTGGTGTAGCTGACATAATGGCGTTTAGTCACAGGTAAGTCATTGGTTGGACTCACATTGGTGAGCTCTGGTTTTTCTGCCTGGAGACAATAAAATTCTCTCTCCCCTTCATATCCATATCTATTCCATGTTACCTATAGAAATTTTCCTGAAGCACCAATAAACTCTTTGAAACAGAGGGCGGGGGGAAATAAAATCTTACCTTGACATCAAAGTTGCACTCCAGCCTTCGGATTAACACAATAAAAGCACCAGAGGAGTTGTCCCTCAGTGGAGGTGGGGCTATAGGCTCACATGCATTCTCCGGTTTGGAATTTATTAGAAATCCCTAGAAAACAGGAGCAGAAAAAGAAGTTTAATTTCTTTTTAAGAAAAGGGTCAGTAGTGAAGTATATGGAAAGAAAACAGCACATTTTCATACAATAGCTAAAAAAATTCTTATTATCAGCTCAGTCCTATATCATAGTAAGATTTCTGCTACGTATTATACATATATATGCCCTGACTACATATTTTGATTTGTCAGAATTTTTATGACTGTATAGAATCAGAAAGTTTAGAAGAAAATGCAGTTTTTCTAGTCCCATCATACTCAGACTCTGCAGTGTAATTCAAGAAAAAAGAAGACGGCATATACTACATTAATATAGTGTAACTATGGTTCTAGGACATATGGAGACTAACCAGGAAACCACAACAGCCTAAGAAGCACCAACACAAACTCAGCACTCACCAACTAACAAGAACATAAGCAAAGTTCCATCTACATGACCCCAGCACTGACCTAGCATACAAAACAGGTGGTGTGCTATGGTAAGCCACGATCGCTCAATAAGCTACAGCTGAAAGCTTCAAGAAGTAGCAAACTCTGGTAACATCAACTTTAAAGCAATCTTTGATTGTTTTTATGTGGCTGAGATGGTGGCCTTCTGCCAGCAGTCTATAGCCACTTACTATAGAATCTGACAAATAGTCTTTTACAACTTGCATTACTAATAAATCTTAATCACAAGCTCTGAAAGAGTATACCATTTTCATCCTATTGTAACAAATAGCATAGCATTTTAAAAAGTAATTAAAATCTTAATGCAAAGAGAAAGTTTTAGTATAATATTCAGTTCTAAAACTCCATCATTCCTACACGTGTGATGACATCTACCTTAATTAAGACACAGAGCTGTCTAACAGTTAAAAAGGTCAGAATCAAAGCTCCTTATATCTATTTCTGGTGTATTAAATTGGCTCACTACTTGGGTCACTTAATCACCCTCTGACTCCCAATATAGTCAGTAAACAACGACACAGCTTTAACATACCTTCTCCCCATGATAACACTCACTGGACATGGAAATGAAGCCTGCTTGAGGGAAATTGCAGAGAAATTCCTGAGTTACAGGAATTCTTGCAATACTTTATTACCCTTTGCGATTAAAAGGGCAACACGGAACTAAAGAGTGATCTACCCTTTCACCTTATCACCAGCTTTTTTTTTTTTTTTTTGCATAGGGGTTACTCTCAACACTGCAACATTAACAAAGCTGCTGAGCTGGTTTTTGGGGTCATACAGGCTTACAGACAGAAGAAACAAAAACAACTCCCTGCCCACATGGACTATTCACGGTCTCCATGCGGTGTATAGCATGCAAACTCCCCTTCTCCAGAATTTGGAAGGCGGTCTGCCTAAATTTTTGTTTAAGAATTCTAAGCTGTAAAAGCATACACATCTCAGTCATAAACCCTGATACATTGTTCAAAGGGGACAGCAAGACAAGTCACTGCCACATGACTGATTCCACGTAGCCACTTCCACAGCAAAAAAAATTAAGGAAGCCTGAACTTCCCACAAGCCCTAAACTGCCTGGATGGCCAGGCACAACCCCACAGAAAATACATTTCCTCCAAAATGAACAAACTTACTGACACTGACTTGCACAAACATGACTCTAAAGGAAACAAATGGTTCCTGTCACTGCAGAGCACCTCAGGTCAGGCAGCCAGAGAGAGGGAGCCTGCCCCTTGACGCTGAACTCAATACAGCACACCAAAATGCATAATCTCAGCAACAGACTACTCAGAGAATGTGAAGACTAGAACTGAACTGGATATTCATCTGGCTTTTAAGTACTTTTCTAAGCAACAGGACTATGACACCACTTCACAGCATTAACACCACCATAGAAAATTTATTTCAAAATAATTTTGTTTCTACCTTCTCTATCTCATATTACAGAGATAAAAGTTATGAATAAAAGCCTTCACACCACTTACTACTGTCACCAGTATGTCTGGACAGCTACTATCATAGCAGAAGCCAGAAAGAGCAGAATGTGCCTTATCACTGCTGTCTAAGAAAGATGCACTTATTTAACCTCTCACAATTCCTTCACATTTTACTTTCAACTTCATCTCTCTTCTGTTAATTTCACTCAGCCCACCTACACATCTTCCTGTGTTCCAAGTGAGTGTACTGACCAGACGAAAGACACGAAAAGTAATTATCCTGCTGTACAAAACATTCTTGCTGCTGTATTTCAGAAGACATTGGGTCTTCAGAATTTCTAATCCAGCACAAAATAATGATAAAGCCTAACCAGTACTCCCATGGCCATATCCATCTTGGACAGTTTTTGCATATTAATCATTTTGCATGAAATCAATACAGTTTTTCCCTTTCCAGCTCCACTAACAATTGCAAACCTTTACATCTTATTTCTGTCTTCTGTATACTAGGTGACTTTTACAATTCCATATGGGGTAATATTTATATACGTTTTTCCATGTCAATGAAAATGGGATTAAGAATATTAAAAAAAATTAAAAGCCACCTGCATATTTTCTGCTAATTCAATAGATTTGCCTTCTCTTGATATTATTATGACCAGTTTTCAAGTCATGGCCCAGCATCCCTACCCCAACAGGATGCTATTTCACGAAGTAAGACACTCTAACAGATAAGTAACAAAAATGTATATGTGTATCTTCATTTTTCCCAATTATTGATACAAAGTAAAATAAAAGAGCATGAGCACAACCTATGCCTTAAGGGGCACTGGAAGAATGGGGGGACCTTCTCACCTGCTACGGGGTGTGGATTGCACTTGAAATGAAAGCATGTAAGGAGAGGGTGCAGGATCAGTGACATCCCTGCCCTGGGCCCCAGCCCTGGGCACAGCACACAGGCACCACAGCAGAGCTGCAGGCCCTGAGCCCCTTGGGCTGCTTGAGCAACCCAACAAGAGTAGCAAACAGACAGCAGCTGCACCTTCCCAAAAAACCGAGCTACAGTTGCGTTATACAGAGTAATTAATCTGGGCCACACGCAAGGAACCTTCACAGTGTGAAGGGGCTTCCCAGTGGAGGACTGTAGGGAGACAATGACTCTTCCAAATAGGTTTTTCAAAAAATTGTAGCAGCACAAAATTAAGTCTTTCTTCTGCTGATTCCAGTGCAAGGTAACTGACATCATGTATCAGTATTGCCATCAAAACACAGAAAACAGTGATCTAACTTCTTAGATTTCCATTCTTTACCTATTTTTAATATATTTGATAAAAATTCCAGCAAAATCTCCTTAAGTAGACAAACATTACCAAAATTCTCTTCTTTGCAAAAGAATCTGCCTTTTCACAGGCAACATCAGATCCTTTGCACATTTGTTTTGTTTGAGCAGCTGATTAATAATTTCTGTCTTTATTTTTCCTTTGCACTACATTCCTTTAATTTTTATCTTTTTCAGCTTACAGAGGAAATGCCCAGCAGATACAGTTCTCTTTAAATATACTCAACATTCAAATTCAATCTAGCACTTCCCAATCAAATCTGCCATTACCCCGAATCCTTTGTGCCTCACATTGAGTGCCAAAAAGGATTGTGGGGGTTTTACCCCTCCCAGCCCTCAAGCCCCCGCAGCCGCTCCCTCTCTGCCCCACCCGCAGGATCAGGGAGGGAATTGGAAGGGTAGGACCTAAAGAACTTGTGGGTTGAGACAGACAGTGTAATAAGAAAAGCAAAAGCCACACACACAAGCCAAGGAAAATAAAGAATGAATTCACTTCCTCCATAGGCAGGCAGGAGTTGCAGGGCCCCAACACACACAGCAGTGCCTTGGGAAGACAAACACCACACTCAAAAGTCCTTTCTCTTCCTTGCCCCCACTTCATATACTGAGCACGGTGTCACACACCTGGAGTACCCCTTTGATCATTCTGGGCCCTTGTCCTGGCTGTGTCTTCTCCCAGCCTGCCATGCACTCCCAGCTTCCTCACCAGCGTGGCAGTAGGAGGAAGCAAAAAGGCCTTGGCTATGCTGGCACTGCCCAGCAATAACAAAATCACCTCTGTATAACCAACCCTGGTTCAGCACAAATCCAAAACACAGCTCCGTACAGACACTGGAGGAAAAGAAACACTAGCCCAGTTTAAACCAGCATGATCTATATATATTATTTTTTTACCTTCAAGCCTTCTGCTGGCAGTCTGTAGCCAAATCTAGCAGGTAGATCATCAAATGTCTGGGTTCCATTTTCAAGGTTATACTAAGAAAAATAATGTTTTTAAAAAATTAGATTTGCAACAAGACAAATAGTTAACAAGTATAAACAAAACCAAACATCACTGTCTGTTTTTTTTAGATTATAATATTTATCAGAGATAGGACATCTTGTGACCATGTCAATGAAATCACAAAACTGCTTATTCCACCTGTCTTCTACTCACATGTTAACATCATTCTTTTCTTATCTAGCTGTCAAAACAAGAAAGTAATAGATATTTTGTTGATTTATATGGTAAATCTTTAAATTCAAATACTATCATATGTGCACAACAGAAACTACAAACAAACCAAGCAAGCAAAAATCTGGAGTTGGGACATTTGGATGTGGAGTTTTCTCTGGATGGTAGTGGTGGGTGTGTTGCCCTGCATTCATCTGTGTACAGGGAAAGAAAGCTTTTAGGAGTTGCTTTACTGTAGACAAAGAATAGCCTTCGTATGCCATCCCTTCCCAATTCCCTGCTACACATTCGGATTAGTAGCTGAAAAGTATCTCTACAGTTTTGCTTTATAATAACTATGAGTTTTAATTTTAAGATAGAGGAATACTGTCAAAGACCCTATATATGTGCAAGCCTTGTTTCCCCTTTCTTAGTTCATCTCTGGCTGCATAACATGCCTGACCAACACAGAATTCAAACAGAAAAAAGTGCTGTATATATATGTCATATTTTTTAGTTTAAAAAAGTTTCCTGCAAAAATTGTGAACTCCACAATTAACAGACTTGAACATGCATCAGTTGTTTTATTAAATGGTTTAGTGAGTCAGAAATGTTTGTCTATTCATCATATCATCCAACTGTCACACAGAACAGCCAAGTAAGGATCGTGTTTGCTTCAGAGGGATGTTTCCTACCTGCCAGCCTTGGACAGGGGAGCTTAAACTACAGCTCAGAGAAAAACACAGCCATGATTTATCTGAAGTCTTCCAAAGGAGCAACATTTGGAAAGAGCTTTCTTCCCATAGACTTTGAGGGGAAAGAGATAGGAATGGAGCCAAATTTCAAGGAAGCTTCTTTATTCTATGTAACCAATGTGAGCCACATAATCTCTCCTCCTGACCTTCCATCACAGAGAGCACCAGTGCACCACCATCCATTCACCTTCTTCAAAACAGCCTGAGCTTGGGCTAATGTCAGTTTGCCCTTGAATCACTTGACAAGCCCCAGCTTAAGCCAGGAGTTTGACACAAGCCTATTTCTTTTTACCCCTTTTTAAAAAAAATAACCAATCCTGTCTCACATGCACATAACAGCACTTTACACAGAAATGATCCTTTGAGGCTACAACTGTATGAGAACACAGACCTAAACCACCACTAAAATTAAAGGGAAAAGAAGAACTTCTTTCCTTGGTAGGAGCCCAAAACTTTGGCCAGAGTTTTGCTAACAAATGGTTAATCATTAAATGGTGAAATCTCTCAAGACTGTAAGTGATCAGTACACCAGCAATTCCATGTGACACAATGCAAACATTCCCTCTTCTGAGCATCTTTTAAGCATTCCACTGGCTCCTTTGTATAGCAGTTTAGTATCTAGTTCATCTCATTTCTTACTTCAAGATATTCTCAGAATAAATCTGCAACTTCCAAATATCTAAGAATAAAAGACGCTTCATTTTTACACGGTATTGTTTTAGAATACGACACACAAAGCTTAAACAGGAAAAAAAACCAACTAAATTTCCCAAGTGCCCTATTTTTTTTTTTTTTTTTTGAGATTGGGGTGGGTTGTTTGTTTCCTTTTAATTAACTTTTCTAAGAGAGGAAGAAGTGAGAATGAGTTAGGTTTTTATGAAAAGAGGAACTCAGGCTTGGTGACAGAGAAAAGAGGGGAAATGGAAATTGTGTTTACAGTAAAAAGTTTAAAATTTCACAATAAAATGGTGATGTCAGTGCCATAATAAAGCAATTATCTATCTGCATTGTTTCTTTATATTTTTTTTTCAAAAAGTGTTTATAGAATAGTAACAACCTGAAAATCCAAATACCATACTTTAGTATTCATCAACCCCACTTTATCATAAACTTTAAAGTATTATTTTAAAACTGGTCTCCAAGAGTTCGTCACTCTGTTCTCCAAAACTGATATGACATTAACAACTCTTCTCCATATCACTGGAACAAGCAAGAGGCTACAGTAATTAGGTTTAATTATTTCACTTGCTTAAGCTCGATCCTACAAAGACATTTATAATTTCCTCCTTAAAATGCCACAATATATCAAAGTGATAATAAACGGCACAGCAACAGCTTTTACCACTGATCTATGTTCATTATACTGGTAATTATTTTCCTTAATGACAGCAGACAGACATTTTCAGCTATTTAGAAATTTTATCTGGTGTAAGATACACAAAACCCCTTACTGACAAGGCCTCCAACCCACACAAATACATTATACTAGCCATAGAATATTATTTAAATCCAGTAGCCCTACAAAATGGCACCCATCACCAAAATTTAAACTACTGTTTAAACTGAAGAATGGAATTAACAGGGTTGTAACATGCTCCAGGACATCTGGTCAGAGTGAAACTTTGTAAATGAGCAATGGAATTAGGTGTTTTCACTGTCATGGCACCTGAGCACCTACCATCTGTAAACTCATTTGAAAATGTAAAATTTATTGTTTATTGAAGTAAACTGTTAAGGCAGTTCTATTCCAAGCAATCTGCTATAGTATTTATAGTATTAACTTATTTATTAATAGAATAGTTGAACAGATTATTCAATTTCCTATACATTTCATCCATGTAGAAAAATATTATACTTACTGCTAAAATATCTGCCTCCACAGGTAAAAGATTCAGGAAGGCAAACAACTGCACAGTCACAATAGTGTATATCTGAGTGGCAGACAACATCAGCATTCCTATTGATAACAGCATATTTTATTCAATACCTGCAAGAAAATAATCAGAGTCAAGGCGCATAGCAAATACTTTCCTGTGTCATTTTACAGAACTCTTGGTCACTTAAAACTATTCTGCTAAGGAAGTATGCAAAATGTTATTCAATGTATACCTTTGAGAAACAAGTAATCTTAAAGTTACAGGATTATTTTACAAGTTACATGATTATTTTAGAAGCTCCTTTTGCTAGAAGTTCACTCCCTCCATGGGAGTGACAGCATGCATAAACAAAAATGGTAAGAGCAAGACTTCAAAAGCCTTTAGGCACCACAAAGCAATGCAAGGGGTACAAAGGGATGATCATTCACATTACATTAATCATCCTTAGACACTTCATTTTAAACTTCCCTTCTTCTAGCACAAACCCAAATCAGCAAAATTCCTGATGTATCTCAAATAATTCCACTAAAAGCACAGATTCCAAAAACACACTTGCAAAAGCAATGCAATACCAACTTGAAGGAACTTGAGATTTCTCTCAGGCTTAGCTACAACATCACTGTGGGCAAGCAACCTCTTAAGAATACAGAAAGCACAAAGCATCTTATTCCCTTTATAAAAGCTCACACCTGAACATGACCAAGTTAGAAAACCCAACATTCAGAATTTATATATACGTGATCCAGTACACCTCATACTCAAAACAAGCACCAACGAAGTGCTACATTCAGCAGGAAATGTAACCACTTTCACTCCTGAATGTGAGAGAACTGCAGGGTCCACAGATGTCTAAATCTCTATAGAGATTCTTCCCGTCTCAAAGTAAAAAATTGCTGGAAATAAAATAGTCGCAACACAAAACAATGGATCCATTTCTGGGCCCAACATAGCTATAACAATTAAAATAATTAACAGACAAGTTCCAAAAATGGACAGTATGCACTTAATGTAATTATTCGAACATCTGGATCTCCTCTAACTTCTTTTACTGGAGTAATTAATAAAGTACTTCACAAAAAACTCAATTAGGTCATCCAAAATGCTAGTTGAAACAATTTTTTGTCAAAACCCTCCAGACTGTGGCTTGTCATACAAATGGTTTCATGTGAATTTGTTTTCATTTGACTGTAGATATTTTTTCTGAAAACTGTCTGTTGACTTAACTGAGAAACTACAGCCAACATCACTACTTTCTTTTTCAGAATCAAGAAAAAACTAAGAATTCCTGTCATTCTGACTTACCCTTCTTGGGTTTTTCAAGCAAAAAGCACTGTCCCATGATGTGAGGCTCTCAACATTAATTAAAGCAAATACCAGAGAGATAGACTTAAGCTAACATGAAGATAATTAGAATTTATTATTAGTATTTGGAGGAAACAGCTGATACTGATACTTTCAATTGTAGTATTGAAAGTTTTGTCACTCTGTTCTCCAAAACTGATATGACATTAACAATTGTAAATGTTGTTAATTAAACAACATGATTCCAACTTGGTCAGAATCAGACATATAATGATTTGTGAAATTTTCAACTGGTTCACAGAAATGAAGTTACGCTCACATGAAAGAAATAGTAGTGAGTTACAAAACTAATGAACTTTAATCACTAAATTAAGATTCATCACCTTCTCTCATCAGCCTGCCCTAAAAAAGAGGACATCAGTGAAACTGGAAGGATAAAAGAACCATTGTTTCAAAAATACAGCTATTTTTACTACGACAGAAACAACAATACACTTGAAGCTACTAGAGCACTTTAACCAACACAGTAAATCCAGCACAGAGAAAAGCACTAAAAGAGTATTAACCGAGGTTAGAAAACACATGAACTGAAGTGGTCCTTGCACACAAAATGCATATGCAGTGCACTCTTCCCCGTCAAAGTTACATGCACACAAATTCTTCTGTGCTCAGGATCAGTCGCCTCAGATGCAAGCCAAAAAGCCTTACAACTCCTGAAATTCCATGGCTCTTTGGAAAGCATGCCCCTCTCAGCTGAGGGAGGCAGCTCAGAGCACACAGAAATGCAGGTGTGTGGAAAAGGGCTGTACTGTAAACCAAACAAAACAAGTTAAACCTGACTCTGCAGTAACCTTCCACACTTCACACCTGATTTACCAGTGTGTATAGACAAAGTTGTCCTTAAATAACTTGGAGTATTTCTTCCCACTCTCCATGCTAAAAACCAAACTGTGCCTGAGGTGCTGCATCCCTCTGTCATGGGTCTGAAATGAGGAGGGAAAAATGTGGGGTGTGCTGGACCAGCACAGCTACGAGCAGCAGAAAGCCCTGGAGCAAACACACTGAGCACATATAAGGCAGAGGCCACAAAGGCATTACACAACTCGAGACACAGACAAGAACTTTCATAGCTTTTGGCAAATATTCACAGGTCAGGCTTCACAAACTATACCTAAAAATGACACTTTCAGATATTTGTATCTCAACTCAAAACGCGTTTCAGAGCATAATACAACACAAAGCAATTCCATGTTCACATGGTTATGTTTACATTTTAACTCGCTCGACAGAACAGCTTTTCCCTCCCACTTCTGAAACAAAAACAACTTGTAAATAATTTGTATGAAACAAACTTAAATTCTATTCTTTTAAAGCCAAATGCGATTGGAAATCTTACAGCAATCAGAAAAAAAACATACGAACATACAGAAACTTTGTGATAAATTCCAAATATTTTGGTAGCTTGGGCTGCACCTTCCAAAATTTCATAAGCAGAGGATTAACAAAAACTAGACAACTAATAACAGTAATTCTCACTCACGTTCCCTAATCTCCCCATGTCTGAATTCTTGCATTTTGATGCCATCGTATCGTTACTGACACACATCTCCATCTCAGACCTATCACAAAACTGGACACTGACGCACGCGAAGTAAGAGCAGCAATCACACCTGTTAAGATGCAAGAACAACTCCTCCCAATTTTAATGTTTTTACTAAGAACGTGTCTTTCAGCCAGTCAGACCCCACGCTACTCATCATCCTGCAAGCCCAACGAGCAGCTCCAGCCAGCCTCAAGAACCGAACACCCGGCAGAGCCGGAATGCGCGACCAGGGGTCGAGCTTCCACCGCGCCAAGAGCCACGCTCGGGGAGCGCTCCAGGGGCCTCCGCTCCGCTTTGCTCATCTCCTCCCGCGGCTCCCAGCAGGCCCGGGACCGCGGCCGCTGCAGCCGGGCTCAGCCCCGGCTGGGCCTAAGCCGCCGCGGAACCGGGCCCCGCCTCGCCACTCCGAAGGGGGAGGCGAATAAGCACTGCGCAACGGAGCACCAGACCCGTCAGTGCTCAGCCGCCGCACGGTCGCAGCGCCCAGGGAGCCTAGCGGCCGCGCCCCAATGCTCACCTGCGGCCCGGGGGACCCGCCCCGCGCTCACCTGCGGCCCGCGGTCCCCGGGCGGCCTAGGCCGACGCCATGGCGCGTTCCGTGCGATCGGCGCCCGCGCCGGAAGTCCCGCCTGCCGCCGCGCGGTCGCGGGCGGTGGCCCGGGACAGCCCATTGGCCACACGGGCTGTCACTCAGCTGCGGCGGGGCGGGTCCGCAGTGGCTCCCGCCCCTGGGGCACGGGCTGGGGCACGGCTGGGACACATCTGGGGCACAGCTGGGGCACATCTGGGGCACGGCTGGGGCAGAGCTGGGGCACAGCTGGGACATGGCTGGGGCACATCTGGGGCACGGGCTGGGGCACATCTGGGGCATATCTGGGGCACGGCTGGGGCACAGCTGGGGCACGGCTGGGGCACATCTGGGGCAGAGCTGGGGCACGGCTGGGGCACGGGCTGGGGCAGAGCTGGGACACGGCTGGGGCACGGCTGGGGCACATCTGGGGCAGAGCTGGGGCACGGGCTGGGGCACGGCTGGGACACATCTGGGGCACAGCTGGGGCACAGCTGGGGCACAGGTCCTTCAGGGCCAGAGGCAGTGCGTGTCTGTAATTCCACAGATGTATGGATGTGTATGTGGAGATCCTGTGGCTGGAGGATGTCTTGTCTTAAACAGCAAAGCCAAGCTCTCGGATTAACCTGAGGGTAAGGACTCCCACGGATTCACAGGAACTTGTGCATATTTCCCAGCCATAACATTGCAAATATTCCCATGTGAATATATCTATGACAATTTATAAATTTGTAAATTGAAAAAAAAAAAATGATGCTGAAATGCAGAGCACTTCACCTGGGAGTCTTATTGAAACACTTCATCTGCATGTATGATTCTGGAATTTGTATTCAGAGTCTGAAGCTTCAACTTGACATCATTTAAATTTACTCCATATAATGAAGCTTACTTCAGTCACGGGGACGGCCTGTGTCCGTGACTGCCAGTCTTGCAGAAAAGTGCAGCATGGTCTGAGCAAAAGCTAGTGCTTCCAGGTGGTGACAAAATGCAGTAATGGTTTTTTCCATACACGGTTTCCAGACATTCTGTTACTAAAAAAAAACCTTCAAAATTGTCCAGCCTTTGTGTTTAACAAAAGGAACAATCTCTTAAAGGAAAAACAGTTATGAGAAGTTGTCATACATAATTTAAATAACTCAGAACCATGGGGGGTTTTGTTTGTTTGCTTGTTGTTGACTTTATCTAACAAGGAACACACATTTTTCTGTGGTTTCGACACACCGGGGCAGCAGCATCAGCACCTGGGTGCCACAGCACGGCGACATCTCCAAGTTACCACGTGGAAACGGGCTTGAACTGCTGCTTGAAGGTGGAATAACAGAATCATCAGGAAGGAAAGGAAACACAGAATTAATCTGTTACCTCACTTCAGCACAGGTCTGTAAGACAGAATGGTTTCGTGGCAGCGACACGCACCCGGGCACACCCATCACTGCGTCCGTCCCCGGTGCAGCCCCTCGGGCCCCGTCCCGCAGCTGCCCGGCAGGTCCCAGCCCCGCTGTCCCGGGACACCCGTTGGGAGCTGCCGCACCCCAGCGTGTCCCAGGGTATCCCAGGGTGTCCCCGCCTGTCCCGGGGTGTCCCAGTCTGTCCCAGGGTATCCCATCGTGTCCCAACCTGTCCCAGCGTGTCCCAGTCTGTCCCACTCTGTCCCGGGGTGTCCCAGCCTGAGCCAGGATGTCCCAGTCTGTCCCAGGATGTCCCAGGGTGTCCCTGCCTGTCCCAGCCTGTCCTAGGTTGTCCCATCGTGTCCCAACCTGTCCCAGTGTGTCCCAGTCAGTCCCGGGGTGTCCCCGCCTGTCCCGGGGTGTCCCCGCCTGTCCCCGCCTGTCCCAGTCAGTCCCAGTCTGTCCCGGGGTGTCCCAGCCTGTCCCCGCCTGTCCCAGTCTGTCCCGGGGTGTCCCCGCGGTCCCGGCCCCGCGCAGGCGCCTGCGGGCGCCGCCCCTTCCCGGTAGTTGTGTCGGAGGCGCGGCGATGCTGCTGGTGCTGTCGGCGGAGCACCGGGCTCACTTGGGCTGTCTGCCGCGGGCCGGCGGCGCAGGTCGGGGCCGCGACGGGTCCGCGGGCGGGGGGAATCGAGCCGGGCCGGGGCTGCAGCGGGGTCTGCTCTCTCTCTGTCCTTGCAGCCGTGGGCGAGCTGGGGCGCCTGGCGCTGGAGCAGCTGCGGCGGGGAGCGGCACCGCGGGCCTGCGAGTCCGCCGCCAGTGAGAGCCGGGCCGGGGGCAGCCGGGGGAGCGGGGGGAGCGGGCCGGGCCATGGGGAGCCGGGATGGTTTCGCGGCAGGAGGGCGGGAACGCGGTGGGCTCTGCGCCGGCCACGAGGGACCCCCAAGTCCCCGGGGCACCGAGGGAACGGGCTGGCGGCGTGGAGCTCCAGCACCGCGGGGTCGGTGCTTCGTGCCCGGAGAGGGGAGGGCTACGGACATCCCTTTTCCTACACAAACCCTTCTCTGTACCATGCCATAAGAAATGTTTTTCTTAGTTTTTTGTGCTAATATGCTGCACATTGTTATTTGAAGGGTGTTAAACCCTCTTATCTTTTTTTTTTTTTTCCCTAAGCATATTTTGAACATTAAGCATTGGATAAATTTGCAGCTTTGAGTCTCACTGCTGTGTCAATTAGCAAGTAAAAAGCACTTTGTGCTTTCTTTAAAGGAAAGCTGAACATTAGCGTTGACATCATCCAGCATGGGGTAGAAGGACTAGCGTATCTTCTTACTGAGAGTTCCAAGCTTATGGTAAGTATACTTTTTCATGAGGAATTTGGGGATACTCAAGAGACGTCTTCTGGACACTTAGACCTCTAAAAATACTGGTGAATAGGGAAAACATAGCTCAAAATTTAATGATGTGTATTATTTTATTTTCAGAAAAAGGTGTCTCATGCTGTTGTCTTATTGAAACATTGTGTCTACATGTGTGACTCTGGAATTTGAATGAAAACTTGACAATATTTTAATAGTGTAATTTATTACATATAGAGAAGCTTGCTGCAGGATGAACTCTAAATAATAAAACCCAAATGAAGAGTCTGTTGTTTAGCTACTGCACAGGATGTGGGCTGGACTAGCCCCCTGTTCAGCATTCCTTGTCTTTGTCCAGTGTGATGGGTTGGAGAGCTTTTTCAGCTCTTGGCATCAAAAGTCTGAGTGGTATAAGCAGATACTAAAAGATTAATAGTTGGACAATTACTGTTTCCATCAGAAAGACTAGTAATAGTATTCTACTGTTGATATAGTAGAATATTTGAGCAATGAGCACATGGAGAAGGGATACAGAGACAAGGAATGCCAGATTAAACTCGGGCAAGTGTTGCTCCCAAGAGTAGGTGGGGAGGGGATGGAAATGGTGCAGAGCCTTTTGTTGAAACAAGGGGTCTTGACTGACAGGTTACAGTGTACTGTGGTAGAATGTGGTTGGTTACAGACTGTTATTGCAGGGTGGTGCATTGGAGAGGTACAGTGGTACTTTCTGTGGAGTCACTAACAGCTTCCCCAGTGCTGGGCCAGCCAGGCTGCTGCAGTAAGCACAAAGGCCTGTGAAGCTTCTCCTGCCCTTGGGGCAGGAGCCTGAGCACTGTGCTGTGTGCTGCTCACGTGCAGATCGCTGCTGGGTGTTTGTAGTCTGCTTATCAGTGCCGCAGTAGCACCTGGCAAATGCACTCACACAGCATGTCGTGCCTTGTGGCACAGCTGAGGTGCTCCCTCATGCTGTTTTGGTCTTTGATGTGAAGGCTTACATGTGAGGGGTTGAATGTTCTTTAAAAAAACTCTTCCTGAATCTCATACAAATCTGCAGTAATACATCAACATCTGTAGATCCTTTAAAACCTGGATGTTTGTTTTGTCCGAGGTGTAGAATTGTACTTTGACATTCCTGCAGGGAAATAACTGCAACGTAGCATATGTGATGTTTAGTTACAGTTTTACTTGGTTTTCAGGAAATAATTACGATTACCTGGCCTAAATTGCTATTTCTAGATTTCTGAGGTTGACTTCCAAGATTCCATTCATGTTTTGGGATTCTCAGATGAATTGAACAAATCCTTGCTCCAGCTGTACCTTGACAACAGGAAAGAGATCAGGAGCATTCTTGGCGAGCTGGCACCAAGGCTTCCCAGCTACCACAGTCTGGAGTGGAGACTGGATGTACAGGTGACTTCCCTTATGTTTTTACTATTCCATCCTTTCCTTCACTTTTTTTTTGCATAATAAAAACCTGATAAACAATGTAAAAACAATTGAGGCAGCAGTACTTCGTGTATTTAAAAGTGACATAACTTTTTTAGTGTCCCACAGACAGCCAATTGTGAAATGAACAGGATATGCAGTGATGCAAAGTATTTGTTGCCTGATGAAACTTGAATTCATGGTTCTATTGATGTTTTAAAAATATTAACATACACTAAACATATTTGGTCTTGATTATCACCTTATTTTCAGAGATATTATGAAAGCATTGATTAAAGTGGGTTAGTATTACTTAATTATAAAACACAGTAGTAGTTTGTGTGTATCTTTAATGTGGATGAAAAGGGCTTCTGAACAGTCATCTGAACAGGTTCTACAAAGCTGTTGAGAACTGTTAAGAGCATTGATAACCAATGATCATTTTCCTGTTCCTCTTCCACTGAACCTCTCCTGCAGCTTGCAAGCAGAAGTTTGAGACAACAGATCAAGCCTGCTGTGACTATGAAGCTACATCTTAATCAAAATGAAGATCAAACTGCCCAGGTGTTGCAAACTGACCCTGCTACCCTTCTCCACCTTATCCAGCAGCTGGAGCAGGCGCTGGGGGAGATGAAGATGAACCACTGCAGAAGAATAGTGCGCAACATGAAATAACCTTGGTTCTCCTCTGCTCTCTTACTAAGCAGTTTGTTAAA